AGTTATGTCAGGAGATGGCGGTGGACCTTTAATTTGTTTTGAAGCTTTGTGGATTGTAATCGGACGGAAAGCAGCTGTTTGGAAGAGAATTCCATAATTTTGCAGTCCGGGGAAAGAAGCTGTTGTTGTAAAATGACTTGGAGACAGGTATGTTGACGGTGTATTGATGAGAGCTGGAAGAGAACCTGGTGGCACGCTGAAAGGTTCTGAGCGGTGGAACAAGAAGTGCAAGTTCTCCTGAACATCGACCGTGAAAGTATCTGTAGAAGAGGGATAGCGATGCGACATTGCGTCTGTGTGAGAGGGAATCCAGCTTTGCGGCCAGAGAATGGCCGATGGCAACACAGATTCTCCTTTGAATCTCCTCTGCTAACAACCTTGTTGTTAGCAGACGTCAGAAATATTTGAATTCTTTTTCAACCTTCATGTATCATTAAATGAGCCGGCATTCCGTCTGAATGTCTTATTTTTTTCATCATCCTGGACATTTGAAGTGCATTCTAGACGTCTAGACATTTTCACTACATTCCAAATATTAGTGCCCATATTATTCTTAAGGCCGTCCCGAATGTTTTGAGCATGTTCAAAACTTTCGAGGTGAATTTAAAGTTGGTCGAGAAAAATCGTACGGCATTCAAAGTGTATTCTAACTCTAGTATGGCTGCATTGTGAATATTCCTGCAGTATTTCGACAGGGTTGGGAACATTATGATCGCATTCAAGGGGAAAGCACAATGAGCCTAAAATTTGGAATAAACCTACCTCGAATTTCGACGAATGTACTTGAAAAAATAACCATGAGTATACAAAGCATTTTCATTTTCATTTTCGAGGCAAATTCCAGCTTGTTTGTGTAGGAGATATAACTAGGGTTTCCCGAATGTTGCGTTTTTGCCGATTCCGCCTGGTTCTACTTGACTATTGGTGATTCGGAATAAGTGTGCAGTGGCCTTTAGAGTACACCATTAGGTTTCAATAACCCAATCAACGACAAAAAAGCTATAGATATGCAATACCATTAA